CACAACCTTTCTTGTTTTTCATTCGCAATTGGTGTGTATATTCGTTTATAAAATAAATGCTATCGAAGATGCCTGAGAAACTAACCACAATTATCACTAAGCAGTTGTTGAGAGAAGAATCGAAATATATAAATGAAAAGCATCTAATCACGACATGTCAAAAAACAAAAAAACACAATTACGTAAACCAGAGTCATGATTCCGGATCACGTATTCCATCAACGACTCTAGATGCAAAGCCTATCTATCCTCCTTTCCCCATTTTTTATCCATCTTACGTCCTCGAACTCTCTGTGTTTTTTCTACCAATATCCATAAATACTCATAAACTCCAACCTAAAACCAAGAAGATCACGGTTAGGTCAGTGCGATTCAAAGGACGTGTGTGTGGACAACATATTTCGATGAGAGATAATAGTAGATACCTTGAGTATACCATTGGTGACTTTAACTCCAAGGATGATTGGGTCTCTTTTATTGAAGACACAGTTTGGTAAAATCGTAAGGATGCAAGGCAAACTGCTTGACAAGCTTCAGTGAAGTTGTAGCAGAAGAATTTGTAAGGAAAAAAACAGTAATGAAGTTCACCTACAAGGCACTCTATTAAGTTCATCAACTTACGATTCACTCATCAACATTTTACTTGAGCCAGTGATCCCTATAACTCGTAAGTCAATTTTAAACTCTTCTTTGAGTACTACAGCCTGTAAAAAGAAATTTAAAGATGAGTCAGCTTGAACCTTGATCCATAGTAACTATAATCACACAGATACACAGCAGATACTTACCTGATCTCCAATCTGATCAAGTAAGGTTCCACCAATTAAACCCGGTCCTATGATTCCCATTGCTAACGTGGTTCTCGAAAGGTAAAATCTTGAGTGCACTGCTCTTAATGCCCTAATGCAATCTTCATGCTTGATAACTACTGTAATATTGAACTCGGAACAACCTTGAGCTATAGCACGGATGTTGATATTGGCTTGCAGGTATTTACGAGAAGGTAATGTATCTATCAACAGAGCTTCTTAGCAGAAAAAGGAAAAAAAATGAAACGGATGACTCCATTTTTTCTTTCCAAACACTACATTGAATTTACTTTGGCCAACGCATTGAAAAAGTAGCAGAAACGCCAGGAGTGCTTGCCATTTTCTGGCCAACTGCTGCTAATATGCTACAATTAGGGATGATTTCAATCTGAAAAGAAAAATAAAACCATAGTTTGAGAAAAATAGGCGATGAATAAACAAGATCCTACTGTTTTCTAAACAGGTGATGTACATAGGCGATGCATAAACAAGATCCTGATGTTTTCTAAACAGGTGTTGAACATGCGCTCATCTACTACGGGAGTTGAAGGAATAGTTAGTTGATATCTTTTGATGAACAGAGAGAGGTTTAGGACTAGGAGCACTTGGGAAAGGCGCCAACCAGCCAAAGCTTGACGAAAGCGTGAGTTCAATGCTTTAGAGACGGCTTTAACTTCCTTCTCAGGTACAACAAAGCACACAGAATGCTCACTACTAGCCTGCATTTATGAAATACTACTAAGAACCCACAATTGACAATGATAAAAAAACCCGATAAAGATACCAGAAAGCTTAACTAAATGATGCAGATACCTGTTGCATGACCAGCTGCAGAGATAGAAGAGTTCATAACAAGAGGAATACGATTTCAGAATAACATATACAAATCCAATTCAATTAACCTCCTCATAACAATATGCATAGAGCATTGACAAATTAAAAAAAAAATAGTACCTATGTGAATAGCACGAAGCATTGCTTTGAGATTGTTTATATCATCATGCAACCGAGCCAAGAAACTCGCGTGTTCGTCTCCATCAAGCAAATCAAGAGCCGTTGCTCGGTGCTTTTCAAGAACAACATCCAAAGCAGACAGGTATGAATCATCCCGAGACTGTGCTCTGTGAATCATAAGAAACATAGAAGACGTATTCTAAATTTCGTATAAAATGTAGAAAAAGCAGAAGACAGATTCTAAACTTCGTAGATGACAAATTATAAAGTGTGAAACCGAAAGCAAATCAAAACAAAAGCAAAGTAGAAGAGAATAATACACAGAGAGATACAAATTGAAATCAACTTTGAACAATATCAAAAAAAAAACCATCAACACGAAATTTAACCTGAAACAAATTAAGAGAAACAAAGATCACAAGAGATATTCTCAAAACTAAAAAGAAGCCACGTGTATGAACACAAGCTTTCCTTCTAATTTGTCAAAACTCTCTCACAAGAAAAACATGATCGTGTGTATAATACTTCTCTCTCTTTTTTTTTAATTGTTATTATCCTTAAAATATATTTTTAGATATTTATTTTTTTTTGTTAGGGTTATTTTAGTCTAAAACAGCATAATTTAGAAAAGGTGCAGATTGACAAAGATATGGTCAAAAAATATTTTTTTCCCAATTTTCTCTTTTATTAATTCAATTGATTTTCTAATTCATTATGGTACATTACCATTATGACTTATGTAGTGTATCTATATTAAAGAGATGTAAATTTGGGCAAATATCTCATGGTAACAATGTATCA